TAATAATAATAATAATAATAATAATAATAATAGTAATTATAATAATAATAATAATAATAATAATAGTAATTATAATAATAATAATAATTATAATAATAGTAATAGTAATAATAGTAATAATAATGATGATAGTAATAATAGTAAAATCAAAATAAAAAAAATGATGGAGCTCCAAAAGACCAAAAAACAAACTATTATCAAAAATATAAATTAAATCTCAAATACTTAAAATTCTAAAATAAAACAAATAATTATTGAAAAAAAAACAAACAATTCTAATAAATATTGAAAAAATAAAGAAAACAAAACAAAATTGAAAAAAATATTGTGACAAAAAGACTTTTTCATATTTTATTTGTTATAAATTGAAATTGATTCATTTGAAGATCAACGGTTAAGTTTCAAAGTTTTGACTCTATTTAACAAGCCTGATTTTTGATCAAAATCATCATTATAAAAGGAGTCAGAAGGAAGTTGTGGCCTTGGAGGAACGGGAGGTCTAGGAGGTATAGTAGTAGTAGTAGCAGGGTTGCTAATACTGTTATTATTACCTCTAAATTTTCTTGATAGAGTTTTCTTTCTGGTTAAAGCAGAGCCATTACTGAAATTTTCTTGAGCAGCCTTTTGAGAAGCAGGAGCACCGTCGAGAAAAGTGGAGGAGCCTAAACCCATTGTAGTTGCACCATGAACAGGAATGGCTTTTGCTTTTGCATCAAAAGCAACAACTGAGTCATTGCTTTTTAAAGCTGCATATCGTTCCTTTGGAGAAAGAGGTTTACTGCGAGCAAAAATTGAAGTGTCATCGTCATCTATGGTTCCATTGCCCATTACTATATCGATTGCTTGATCTTTTGTGTTATTTGGACCTAAACCTTTGATAGTTGAGTTTGGACCATCTATTGGGAAAGCAGCGACTGGAGCTACTTTAGTATTTTTGTTTCGGTGAGGAGTACAAGCATCAAAGGGACCATCGTGATGAAATTTTGCACCGAATAAACCCGAAACATCTAAACGATCTATAGTATCAACGCCTGCGTTTTTATTTTTTGGATTTTTTTTAGATCTTGAAGATTTTGATTTTGATTTTGACTTTGATTTTGATGTTGAGTTTTGATTTGAAAGTCTACGTTTATCATCTAAGGGATATAGAATGTGTCGAGAAGATGAGGAATGGTTTGCACGAGATTTTGGAATTGATCTTGGTATTGAGCCATCATCAATGGATGAAAGATGTTGTCGATGAGTCTGATTTTGAGATCGATCGCGATTGTGGTGACGACGGCGACGATATTTATCTTGATCGAGTTGAGAAGAATCGCTATTATAATCTAGATTTCTTCTTGAATATTTTGAAGAAGATGGGAAATTGGTGTGGTCATCGGCATCATCACTATTGTAGTATTTATTTGATTTATAGTCACTATTGTTGTCATCAGAGAAATTATTACGAGATTTTTGGTCTTTGTAATCTTTATAGTGATTTCTTGAGGAAGAAGATGAAGAGGATTTCTTTTTATCTGGTTTTGATTTAATATCTCCATCCATATCTTCGTCAAAAAAATAATTATTTTTTGAGGTTAGTAATTTTTTCTGTAGTTTTAAATTTTCCATGTCTTTATATTTTGACCTTTCCTTAATGGGATCAGGTATTTTTGAATCGCTATTTGATCTATGCTGCCTGGAAGGTATGGTAGGTAATGGGAGGGTTCTTGTTGGGTTTCTGGAGGTGTTTCCAGAGTGGTTTCTGGAATGGTTTGTTGAGCTTGAAGATGAGCTTGATCTTGATCTTGAATTATAGTTTTTATGGTTTGTTTGAGAGGAGGGATAGTCGTTCTTTTCAGAAGGATAAGAGTTTTTTCTATAAGTACTGCCAGCAACTTCGTCATAAGAAGGAGGCAAATCGTTATCAAGGTCTGAGGCATTGGGGTCGCAGTTATTAGCATTGTTGAAATTGTTGTTTTTGATGTTGTTTATGGTAATATTTCTCTGTTTTTGCCTCTCTATTTCTCTTTCTCTTTCTCTCTGTCGTTGTCGTTGTCTTTCTTTATGTTGTTTGAATTCCTGAAACTCTCTGTATTCTCTTTCTTCCTTTTCTCTTTCTCTTTCTCTTTCGCGCTCTTTTTGCCTGTCTCGTTCTCTTTGCAGGATGTTGTTGGAGGTGGAATTGGAGCCAATGTCAATCAAATTACTGGAGTGATTATTGGCAGCATTTCTGTGACGATCGAATATATTGTCGTCAGGCGAGAAGCTTTCAATAGAGCTATGGGAGTAGGATCGATGGCGATTTGAGGAGGCAGGAGAAGCATTGCTATAGAGAGCATCAGCAAAGGGGTTCTTGGAGATGGGTCGTGGAGGAGGAGGCATGATAGAGGAGGTGGCACCAGAAGACGAAGAAGCACAGAAGATGGAACCAGCTATGGGAGAGGATTGGAGGTTTAGGAGATTCTGGGAAATTGGAACTGGAGACTAGCTTCGTAAGATAAAAGCAGATACTGAAGGTGGTAAACAAAATAAACAATGGATAAGAATAGCAAAAGGACGACATGTTATTTATAGACACCGTCCTTGATTAGGAGCAAGCTCCCAAAGGCCCAGGCCGCCGCACCCACGGGGCGGTTTGCGCTCTCCGGGACAGGGGAATGCAGACTACGGCCTCGGCACGCATGAAGGATACTACTGCTGCAGGCGCAGGCACGCGGTTTCTTGGACGAGCGTGTTTCACGCAGACCCGGTTCAGTGGCTCCAGCACGCTCCCGGGCCTGGACGGCCTATTATTAGAAGACGCGGCGGTGCTTGTGCCCGTGCTGCCTCTGACGGTTTTGGCGGTTTTGGGGCACGTCGGAGGCGTTTCATGGTTTCGAGCATGCCACACCAGTTCCGGTCTTATTGCAGTGGCGGTTCAAGCACCATCACCGGAAAGAACCGGTGGTACTGTGTCCTCACAACCTCGGCTCTGGGTGTCTTTGCTGTTTTTGCTTCACCTGCTGCTTTTGCTTCTTTTCTCATTTTGCTCAACTTCAACACGCTTGAGTACATCCCAATAGAGCTTCTCATCATCTCACTGTACCACTGGATGCTTTCTTTCACAATCAACCTTGTTCCCAAGGCTTCTTGATCTCTTTCAATCTCCCTCACCATCTCCATTATTCGAATCTTGCCCTCCTGGTTCAACATCTTGATCTCCTCGATACACTTTCCTTGCTCATAGGCCTTGTCTGTGTCCCTCTTGTATTTTTCATATTTGTCGTAGCTTTGAAACTCTGGCAATTGCACTGTGTAAAACGGCTTCATCCTCAAAGAATATATAGAACTCGCAAAATCGTATTCTCTATTCTGCTTTTGAAGTATTTCCTCAATTTGATTGAACTTGGGCAACCCAATAAATCCATTCTTCTCATATATCTTCACTGTTTTCAACTCTATTTCCGTTAATATCAATTTAATCTCGTAATCTTTAATTAAATTTACTAAAAACTTTTCGATTTTATTTAGTTTATTCAACTTCTCATCCAATATTATATTTTTTTTTCTCTTTAAATTGTTTATATTCTTTTTGTTTTTCTTCTTGTTATTATAATGACTCTCATCAATATCCAATTTATTAATCGAATTAACTAAACTGATCTTTTTCAAATTAATTCCCCCGTTTTTATCTTTCAAGTTTTCCTCAATTATTCTCTCAACCTTCTCTCTTTTAAATTTATTGTAATCTAAAATATACTCTAAAACAATCAAATTACTCTCAATCAACTTCTTTAGATTATAATACACTATATCATATTCCCATTTCTTGTAAACTTCCAATTTAAACCCTTCAAATAGAAAATTTATCATAATCTCAATTTTCTTATAATAAACATATGTCATAAAGATTAATATATCATCACCCCCATTGCTATTAACCTTATTCAATTTATTATCATTATCATACATTATTTTAACCAACTTATGATCCACTTGTTCTGCCAATTGTTGAATCGAATCAAATGTGCATATCAATGAATTCAACTTTTGTCTTTGTCTGCAAATATTACTAGAAAATCTCATTTCAAGTTCTAAATATCCTCCCTCGAGTATCCCTAAAAATTCCTCAATAGTCCTTTCTACCATTTCTTGTTTATCCTTTCGAATCACTCTATCTCCATTCAAATCCAATTCAATTAACTTATAAACCAACTTATCCTCTTTACTAAATTCTTTACTGTCTTCAATCTCTTTTTTCTTATCTTTTTTATGCTGATTATCCTTCTTACTTTTCTCACTTTTCTCACTTTTCTCACTTTTCTTGCTTTTCAAACTGAAATCGTAAATCTCAAAAATTGGATTACAGTAACACGTAAAATACTTCAAATCATTCAAATACATCTCACACAACTCTAAATCCCCATTCCCCAACACACTCTTATCTGCCCGAATTAATATATACTGTAAAAATGATCGTATTAAAATAGAATTATTAATATCCTCTTTCTTACTACCATATTCATTATACGATAATATATGTTTTCTTGAAAAGTTTACCATCATTTTATTCATCTCCAAATAACTACCAATACCAATCATTTTCAAAAAACTATCCTTAAAGTTATTCACAAATTTATTTATTAAATAATGCTCCTCAACCAATGGATCGATTATATTTATAAATGGGTTCTTATTACTGATTCTCTTTTGAATACCTGTGGAATAACATCCCTTCAATGTTGGTAATTCATTTAATAACTTGATATTATCAATCAAAATTTGACAATTTTTAATTAAGTCATCAATAAATTGATATTCTCTATTATCCTTTATCTTTTTTTGATTGCCATTATCATTATCATTATCATTATCATTATCATTATCATTATCATTATCATTATCATTATCATTATCATTATCATTATCATTATCATTATCATTA